GTGGCGACGCCAAAATTTAATAGGTTTGACAACACATAAGCAAAACATGCAAATGCACTTTCATCTATAATATTTCCTAGACTTCTAACTTTTGAATCAATATTATTTTTATAAAATTCACGTACATCCCTAGCTGAAATATGTGAAAGAAGTTTGACAAATGATGTCATCACTAAGTTGTTTGAAGAATTAAACATCAACATAAAAATCCAACATCTATATGCAACACTTTATGAAATAAATCCTCAAGTTGCAACTTATTTACAAATAATGCCATTGGCATTAATTATTATCAATTAATTAAGATTCTTAATTACTAGCATTTCTTTATCTAATATATTTTCATCAACTCTAATTACTTAAGAAAAAGAGAAATCTTAGGACATTATTAATATTATACTTTATTAAAAGATAAATATTATAGTTATTTAAAGTTTATTAAACGTTTAGAATATTTAACGGAAAAAATGTTTAGAATATATATAATATGTGAAATCTATAAAAATTAAATAATCATTTGAAAGAAAATTTTAAATTGATTTGAATTTTAAATGTTTTAATAAAAGTATTATTCAAACAAAAAATAATGTTTAATTTCACCGAACAGGATTAGATGGTATGACAGATTTATAATATTATAATATATGAAATCTACAACAATTAAATAACCAGTTGAAAGAAAACTTTTAAATTGATATGAATTATATATCTTTTAAATTAAAGTATTATTAAAACAAAAATAATAAAATAATGTTTAATTTTACTGAACGGGGTTAGATGGTAGGACGGGTTTGGGTCGATAGTAATACGAGACGGTATACCACGGGTGAAATCTATTAGATATGTTTAATTTCACTGAACGGTATTAGATAGTAGGACAGGTTTGGGTCGATAGTAATACGAGACTGTATACTACAGGTGAAATCCTAGATATAACAATCAAAATACAATTATACTATCTTAAACATTAAACAAAACAAACAATTTTAATTAAATAAATATAATTTAAATTTAAATTATATAGTTATAATCTAGATTTTAACTTAATGAACTGTATGTTATTGTTTCTATATTTTTAAACAGTAAAAATTAAACATAGTAATTGTACACTAAAATTGCCCAAAAAAAAAAAGTAATTGTACACTAAAAATATATAGATTTAAGAATTGTACATTTAAAAAATACAAAACATTATATCATATATATTTTTAATCTACTAAACAAATTAAATTTTTATTTTTTAAAAAAATTATAGTCCCGCGGTGTACCGCGGGTTATAATCTAGTGTTTGACAACACACAGACATAACATGCAAATACACTTCCATCTCTAATATTTCCTAAATTTTTAACTTTTTAGTCAATGCTACTTTTATAAAATGTAGTTACATCGCTAGCTGAAATATGGGAAAAAAAATTGACAATTGATGTTATTAGTAAGTTGTTTGAAGAACTAGACATCGATAGATAGTGTCATAGTCTTCCACATAATAGAAAAACTGAACTTTTTCTTAAAAAAAAAAAACATATGAAGAGTAATATGCATTGATGAAGTATAGCAAGAAGCAAAAAACCAAAAGTACAATTGGATCCTGAAACGAGTCGAGTGTTGAAACTCTTAATCTTAAGTATTGACATTGACAGTGTTGATGGATCAGATGAGGAAAAACGTAAATGGTGGAAAAGGTAGAAGAACATGTTCCTTTAAGATGCAAACTCGTTCATTGCGCGAATGCGTCTTATCTAAAGTATTATTTATTGCTTTAACTACATTATTGCTCGCTTGAATTTTAAACCTTAGATCATTTTTGTATCCAAGAAAAATAGTCTAAAAAGCGAGCTTATTACAACAGATGATAGAACCTTATCACCTTGAAAGGAATCAATAATTGATTCAGTAGTGGGAGTTTTCCTCATCTAGTATGCCACAAACCATTCATCAAAGTAAATGCATTCAAGAAATTTCTAATAAACATAAGATATATGCAACATGAATTGTTTCAAAATTATCATTTTTCTCAATTTTGCAGTTCTTTATATATTGATCTAGCTGATGAGTTTTTCTTTTCACTAGAACTTCAACAAAAGTTCATTTTCTGAAGAGTGGAGAAGTTCAGTAACTTATGAAACAATAATGAACTTGGATCCGAGAAATGCATATTCAACTCCAAAAAATTTGCAATCCAGCTTGCGTCATCATACATAAGATTGATGATGATGTGGACGACACATATGGTAACTAGTAAACAACCGAATATGTATTTTTCCTACAACTATTTAAAGTTCTAGTAGGTTGTGACTTCAAACAAAATAAGATATCAATGCTAAGTCATGAATTAAGATGTTTTCAAGATCTATAATGGTTGATTATAATTACAACTACATGTACAATCAACCACGCGTACATATACATCAGATCAATCTATGTAGAATATAATCAATTAAGAAAAGTTTGCAAAAGAATTTAGAACGTCTATTTGATAAGTTTGATTCGGTTTTCCAAAAACTTTATGTTACTAAGATTATGTTATATTCATCTAATTAAGTGAATGTTTTTTCACATAAATAAAGTTGATGGTAATTACATTTTACCTGTAATATAGTTCATGTTTTTTTAGAACTGGATAAATTCTAAATTGAGTACGATAGTAATTTTTTTATGAAAGTTATATTTTTGTCAGTTAAAATATTTATAAAAACATAAACCTGAAAATACAATGATCCCTCTACACAAAATAAAAATAGAAATTCTAAAAAGAATAAAAAAAATAAAAAAAATTGTTTCTTCACTATGAGTTTGAGAATCATCGACATAAGAGCAATTCATCAAAGCCTAACTTTAGAAAAAGTATAAAGTCAATGTAATAAGAGAAGATGACTACATAGGGACGGACTCTATGTTGCAAGAATTTGGACCAGACATTAAACCGCTACAAACGTTTACTTGGAAAATAAAATGTCCGCCAAAAATACGACATTTTATGTGGCAAGCCTTAACTGGATGTGTTTCGGTTACCTCAAATCTGCGCAGGAGAGGTATTAATTGCGATACTAGATGTGATCGATGCGGGGCTTCAGAAGAGTCAATTAACCATGCTCTCTTTGAATGTCCACCTGCGCGTCAGACTTGGGCTTTATCACAGATCCCCACAGCACCAGATATTTTCCCATCAGGATCACTATATGCAAATATGGATTATTTATTTTAGAGAACACCCTCAGAGGTCTATACATCGATGTTTCCGTGGATTATTTGGTATTTGTGGAAAGCCAGAAATAATAAGGTGTTTAATAATATGGACCAAAGCCCAATTGATATATTAAGATTGGCAGAAAATGAAGAGCAAGCCTGGCAATTGGCTCAGGTAGAGATTTCGGATGATAACCTAGAGACGGTGGCAACAATTAATCAATCTCATTGTAGAGTGGAACATATCGGGCATAATCGATCAGGTTATCGATGTTTCTTAGATGGTTCTTGGAAAGAAAGTGATTGTTTTTCAGGATTAGGATGGTTTTGTTCGTATCCAAACGAAGAAACGCACGACATGGGAGCTGCAAATACTCGAAGAAGCTTGACCTCACTCCACACAGAGGTTGAAGCACTAATCTGGGCGATGAGATGTATGATCGGCCAAGATAAAAGAGAAGTAGCTTTCCTTACAGACTGCTCCGATTTGGTGAAGATGGTGTCTTCCCCACACGAGTAGCCAGCGTTCGCGACCTACTTGGAGGCGATTCAGAGCGACAAGGAGGAGTTTGATTTTTTCTTTTTATCGTTAATTTCTAGAAATTTGAATGTGAAGGCGGATAAATTGGCACGGAATGTTCGTACCCTACCGCAACTATCTACTTATGTAAACAATATTTCTCCACATTGGCTCATTTGAGCTAATCCAATAAAGCTGTTGACAAAAAAAAAAAAAAGAGAAGATGACTACGGAAATTTTTGTAATTATGGAAATTTTGTAATAGTGAATTAGTTATACACTACGGAAAAGAAAGGGCCATAGTGATAACGAAGAAACTAAATAGACGAAAAAGGAAAGAAAACAAAAGTAGAGGGACTTGTCAGAAAAAATGTAACATCACAAATCACACCACATCAGGCAAGGCAAAAGCAAGCAAGCCTCTTTCCGTATTTCAGCCTTTTTTTCTTACTATTTTCTCTTCCTATCTCATTTCATATGTTCTTATATGAAATATAGTTTCTAAAAAAGAGGTATCATTATCGAATTAGATGGCAATGAAAATTTTTTATTTTAACCTCTGGAAGTAACATTTTCTATCACGAGATTACAATGAAAAAATACTGAACAGAAATAAGAAAAAAGACAAAGAAGAGAGAAGAGGTTCACGTTAGCGTAGATCAGTCTCTTAGTCGTACTCGTACCCACTGCCACTGGTTACAAGTGGTGATACTACTAGTACACTACACACGTCAAATCTATGCATTCTTTTATTTTTATTTTTACTTTTTTACTCGAGACAAAATATATAATTATGCAAACTATAAACTTATCTTGTAATTTTTTTTTAATAATGAATATTCATCTTGTAATTTTTGTTATTGCGATGACAAGAATATTTTTATTAGTGAGTAATTTTGGGTAAGAAATTTTCATAATTGTGGGTGATAATAAGACTAAGGGAATTTTCAGAATTGTGGGTGATAATATACTTTTCAGAATTCTTTAAATTTCCTTAGAAAATAATTTTGAAAATTCTGAAAATATTATAAACAAAAAGAATATGCTCTGTTTTTAACTTCTTCTTTTTTCCAGAATATAAAAAAGAATTTCGATTCCGACACTTCTCACTAATTTATACAACACCAAAACAAAAAAAAATTAATATATGGACTTTTTTTTTTTGAATATAAGAACTTATTCATTTATTTTTTATTTTGTTTCCGTTATGGTCTCGCCACCATTATTTATGTATAAAACAAACTTTCACAAATTTAGCATATACAAAAAAAAAAGAGAAAAAAAAGAGAAAGTATCATCATCCACCATACGGGTCCGTATCAGCTTTCCCACCTGATTCTCCCTCCCCACAAACCACAACACTACCTATACACTCTCTCTCTCTCTTTCTCTTCTCTGTGTGTTTATTATCATCTCCTGAAATTCACAACATTTCACGCTCATAATTCTCTTCGTGCGAGAGCCATTGCAGAAAGAAAAGAGTTTTTAATAGACCCAAGAAAAAGAAGAAGAAAAAGCATTTTTCTTTCTTTCTTTGTTGCTTTGCTTTTGCTTTTCTGTTTCTCTCTTTTTTGTGGGCACAACAAAACATGAACAAAGTAATGATTTTGTGTTCTTCCTTGTGGTAAACTAAACTAAAGCTTTTTCATGGTGGTGATGAAGTTAATAACGATGAAGCAAACTCCTTTTTTTCTCTTCTCTTTCTTGTTACTACTCTGTTTCTTCGTTACTTGTTCTCTCTCTTCTGAGCCCAGAAACCCTGAAGGTAAGCAAAGCATCAAAAACAAGAAAAAAGACTCATTTTTTTCTTATGGGTATTCGAAAGTTTCAAACTTTTATGTATTTTATATACAGTGGAGGCGTTGATAAACATAAAGAACGATTTACATGATCCACATGGTGTTTTAAACAACTGGGATGAGTTCTCTGTTGATCCTTGTAGTTGGACTATGATCACTTGTTCTCCAGACAACCTCGTAACTGGCCTGTGAGTGTTCTTTGATTATGATTTTCATGAACATTAATGAGCGACAAATTCTTCATCTTTGTCTCTCTCTCTAATTTGCAGAGGAGCTCCAAGTCAGTCTCTTTCAGGAACTTTATCTGGGTCTATTGGAAATCTCACTAATCTTCAACAAGTGTAAGATTATTTTGTTTGTTTCTTCATTAAAAAGTATCTCCTTTGTTTGTTTCTTCAACCTTTGTTTTTGTTTGGAATTATTGAAGTTTATTACAGAACAATAACATCTCCGGCAAAATCCCACCGGAGCTTTGTTCTCTTCCTAAATTACAGACTTTGGATTTATCCAATAACCGGTTCTCCGGTGAAATCCCCGGTTCGGTTAACCAACTGAGTAATCTCGAATATCTGTAAGTCTCTCTCTGTTTCAGATTTTTAGTCGAGCAAAAGATTCGTCTGCTTAACTATAACCTCGTACGTTTGTGTAATGATTTGATTTAGGAGGTTGAACAACAACTCATTATCTGGGCCCTTTCCTGCTTCTTTGTCTCAAATCCCTCACCTCTCTTTCTTGTGAGTATTTTACAGATTTAAAGTTTGTTACTTTTTAACTTAAAGACTCATGTTTCTTGATGTTTTGGTTTCAGAGACTTGTCTTATAACAATCTCAGAGGTCCTGTTTCTAAATTCCCTGCAAGGACATTCAAGTACGAAAACTTTTTTCTTTTGGTTTTTAAGTATTTTTCAACATTCTTGTTAAAGGTTGAGTTTTTCCTAATTGTTGTCATTGTTGAATGTAGTGTTGCTGGGAATCCTTTGATTTGTAAAAACAGCCCACCTGAGATTTGTTCAGGATCAATCAATGCAAGTCCTCTTTCTGTCTCTTTACGTTCTTCATCAGGTAAATCGATCCTCGAATTCGAAATTCTTGTTCGCTTTTCCTTTGAGTTTATCCGGTTCTTATGAGTTTAGTACTACCATTTGGGATGTGTGTAGGACGTAGAACAAATATATTGGCGGTTGCACTTGGTGTAAGCCTTGGCTTTGCTGTTAGTGTAATCCTCTCTCTCGGGTTAATTTGGTATCGAAGGAAACAAAGAAGGCTAACGATGCTACGCATAAGTGGTTAGTCAACTTGAGCAAGCTTGTGGTTTTAAGTAATTTGATTTTGTTTGTTGTCTAAAGTAAAACTTTTCTTTTGGTTATTTATGCAGACAAGCAAGAGGAAGGGTTACTAGGATTGGGAAATCTAAGAAGCTTCACATTCAGAGAACTTCATGTAGCTACGGATGGTTTTAGTTACAAGAGCATTCTTGGTGCTGGTGGGTTTGGTAATGTCTACAGAGGAAAGCTCGTGGATGGGACTATGGTTGCAGTGAAACGACTGAAAGATGTGAATGGAACCTCTGGGAATTCGCAGTTTCGTACCGAGCTTGAGATGATTAGCTTAGCTGTTCATAGGAATTTGCTTCGGTTGATCGGTTATTGCGCGAGTTCTAGTGAAAGACTTCTTGTTTACCCTTACATGTCCAATGGCAGCGTCGCCTCTAGACTTAAAGGTATTTACAAAACTGGTTTCTGTTTAACTGATTCTAGTCATATAATTGAATTCACTGAAACTGATTTTTGTTACTGTTACAGCTAAACCGGCATTGGACTGGAACACAAGGAAGAAGATAGCGATAGGAGCTGCAAGAGGTTTGTTTTATCTACACGAGCAATGCGATCCCAAGATTATTCACCGAGATGTCAAGGCAGCAAACATTCTCCTAGATGAGTATTTTGAAGCTGTTGTTGGGGATTTTGGACTAGCAAAGCTACTCAACCACGAGGATTCACATGTCACAACTGCTGTTAGAGGAACTGTTGGTCACATTGCACCCGAGTATCTCTCCACCGGTCAGTCATCTGAGAAAACCGATGTCTTCGGGTTCGGTATACTTTTGCTAGAGCTCATCACAGGAATGAGAGCTCTCGAGTTTGGCAAGTCTGTTAGCCAGAAAGGAGCCATGCTTGAATGGGTAAGCAATTACTCTAAATTTAGACCAAACGTATAATCAAAATATAGTCTTAAAACTCTTTCGGGTTTTGCAGGTGAGGAAGCTACACAAGGAAATGAAAGTAGAGGAGCTTGTAGACCGGGAACTCGGGACAACCTACGATAGGATAGAAGTTGGAGAGATGCTACAAGTGGCTTTACTCTGCACTCAGTTTCTTCCAGCTCACAGACCGAAAATGTCTGAAGTGGTTCAAATGCTTGAAGGAGATGGATTAGCAGAGAGATGGGCTGCTTCACATGATCATTCACATTTCTACCATGCCAACATGTCTTACAGGACTATTACCTCTACTGATGCTAATGGCAACAACCAAACCAAACATCTGTTTGGTTCCTCAGGATTGGAAGATGAAGATGAGAATCAAGCCTTAGATTCATTCGCCATGGAACTATCTGGTCCAAGGTAGTAAAATTTGGACAAAGAGAGAAAGAAAGATATAATATCCCCATGACTTTAAATTTTTTGAGATGATATAGACATGTAAATGGTGGTCAATCCTTTTAAAAAATTGAGATTCTGGGTCTAATGTTTAATATTTTGGATGTATATATTAAAGTTTTCAAATGTGTTTGTTTCTCTCAAACTCGTTAATACTCATTAGAGATTTTTTAAAATACTTGTGGTCCTGTGAAAGCAAATTTTTGGTCAAACTTTGACCTTCATGTGTTATTAACTTATTATCAAATTTTTACTGACCAACAATTTATTGATATGTTGACTTGTACTTCTAATTTGTTTTGTTTAATTTTTTTCTTTTAAAAACATTACACAAAACTACAAAAGATGTGAAGTACATGATAGCTTTTATATATATAAACCCAACAAACTTTTGCTATTTATAGTCTCATGATCTTTGGTTGTTCTTGTATATTATTTGTTGTCATCAATTCGTTGTGTTTTGATCTTTTATATTCTTCTTCCATATCACAGTCTTGATGCTATTACCCTATCTTAATATTCATTTGTGTTACAAAATGGTCTCTGTACTTTCCATACTCCACGTCTCTGTACCGTCTGAACCACAATGGAATGTTTTTTCAAAACATCACTCTTACTCTTCATCATTGTCTCATACTTCACAGTTACCGAATCTGTTAGACCTAATCGAATGGCGATGAAGTTGATACGCCGTGAATCAGTGGTCCGTCACAACCCAGATGCTCGAGTTCCGGTCACTCCAGAAGACCATATCCAACACATGACCGATATTTCATCAGCCAGGTTTAAGTATTTACAGAATTCGATTGTTAAAGAGCTAGGCAGCAGTGATTTCCAAGTTGATGTGCATCAAGCAATCAAGACATCATTGTTTTTTGTAAATTTCTCGGTAGGACAGCCTCCGGTACCGCAGTTCACTATCATGGATACTGGAAGCTCACTTTTATGGATCCAATGTCATCCCTGCAAACACTGCTCATCAAATCATATGATCCATCCTGTCTTCAATCCAGCATTGTCTTCAACATTTGTAGAGTGTTCCTGCGATGATCGTTTTTGCAGGTATGCACCAAACGGACATTGCTCATCAAACAAGTGCGTTTATGAACAGGTGTATATAAGCGGCACTGGCTCAAAAGGCGTTCTAGCTAAAGAACGGTTGACCTTCACAACACCTAATGGAAACACTGTTGTGACCCAACCTATTGCCTTTGGGTGTGGCCATGAGAATGGAGAGCAGTTGGAGAGTGAGTTCACTGGTATTTTGGGTTTAGGAGCCAAACCCACATCGCTTGCTGTACAGCTTGGGTCTAAATTCTCTTACTGCATCGGTGATTTAGCTAACAAAAACTACGGTTACAATCAGCTGGTTCTGGGTGAGGACGCGGATATTTTAGGGGATCCAACACCCATTGAATTTGAGACAGAGAATGGTATCTACTATATGAATCTTGAAGGGATTAGTGTTGGGGATAAACAACTCAATATCGAACCAGTGGTATTCAAAAGAAGAGGGTCAAGAACAGGGGTCATACTCGACACGGGCACACTCTACACTTGGCTAGCAGATATAGCCTACAGAGAACTCTACAATGAAATAAAATCCATTCTGGATCCAAAATTAGAGAGGTTCTGGTTTAGAGACTTCTTGTGCTACCATGGGAGAGTGAACGAAGAGCTCATAGGCTTCCCTGTGGTGACATTTCATTTTGCAGGCGGAGCTGAGCTGGCTATGGAGGCCACAAGCATGTTTTATCCAATGACAGAATCGGATACGTATCATAACGTATTTTGTATGTCAGTGAGGCCAACCACAGAACATGGAGGGGAATATAAGGATTTCACAGCTATTGGGCTAATGGCTCAACAGTACTACAATATTGCTTACGACCTCAAAGAAAGAAACATCTATCTCCAGAGAATCGACTGTGTTCTACTCGATGACTATTCCCCATCAAAGTAAATATTGTACACGCAGACAAGTCCATGTAAAAGAGACACAAAGCTTAGAGAGTTTACCTTTTGAATACATTTGTATATTGTGAAGAACATTCTCATCCCCAAGTTCACATTGTATTCTATAACAACACATTCATCTTGTTCTCGTCTTGACGACTTGCCCTCTCGAAGCTTTCCTCTCCATCTTCTCTCTCTTTTTACGAGACTTATCATCTTCCACACCTCCCTAAATTCAAAACACACAGCCATAGTAAAGCTTTTTGCCTTGTTTAAAGAAGCTAATAGTACTTAAACTAAGATATTTACCTCTGAACCTTGTGACATGAATCCTCGAATAAGACCAGAAGCTTTATACACTCCAAACGCAGGAATCTATAAACCAAACAAACGCTACATCATTCTAATCAAACTCAACATCAATGAGCAAAAGCAAAGACGTGTGCGTACCACTAGATACGTATACCAAAACTTCCCAGAGATAATAGAAGCTAGCTGAACAAAGCAAGTGATATAGATAACATCATGCAAGTATCTGCAAAGATCATCAAAATACACAATCAAACAACATAGTATGGTTTTGGTTCTTGTAGATCATTCATTCAACACAAGATTTCAAAAACATACCCGCAGATTCCACCAGTGGTCATGTCAAATCCACCATCAAGAAGCTCACCATCATCAGTAACACTAGGTTTTGCCATTTGATCAAGCTGCTTATATGGAAACGCGTAAGCCAGCGAAGTTATCACTAAGCCGATCCAATGTTTCCAAGTAAAGCTTGAGTAGAAAATCAACATCCTCACAACGAAATACACAGCCTGTGACCATAAATTACCAAATCCAATACTTAATTTCATGGAAGTAAGATCTAATTCATGAAGAATCAAAGAAATCTGGGAAACGCGTCGATGGAAGAGGAAGTACATTGGAAGCGATGATGAGACGACGGAGCTTAGCCATGTGACGTGCGTTCTCTTCCTTTCGTTTTTTCGCTCCTTGATTCGCCATTCTTAATCTCCGATTCTAGCTCTCAAAAGTCGTCGCCTGTTTGTTTTGCCGGCGAAGCAGAGGTTATTGAAAAGACGATGATCATCGTTTCGCTTCCGATGAAATTTGTAGTATATGGGCCTAGGCCCGTTAAGTGTAATTTAACATCAGTAGGCCCAATTGAGCTTTGCCTTCATATGTCACTAGATTGGTTCTTAGTAGATTGTTTAGTTTTGTTGCCAGAACTAAGAAGTGTGACCTCATGCTAGATCTCTGCAAGCAAATGATGTTGAAGTGGAATGCACAAACAATGGCTTTTCTTGGTTTTGTAGTCGTGTTTCGCTTTTCGGCTATGGGAAAGATTGTAAAATTTGAGTATGTACTTGATACAATCACATTTTCAAGTTAAACACATTCTGTTTTGAAGAGTTATAGAAGCTGTGTCAATAGTTAGTTGATCAGTAGACTTTGTTTCAAAGGTGAAGTGTATAAGGAAATGGTTATAGTCGATCGAATGGTTGAAAATAGATGTCAACCTGATGCATTTAGCTATGTACTGAATTTAAACAGTCATGTAACACTGTTGAATAGTCTCTGCATAAATTGGAGCCTCCCGGAAATGAACTCAACATGTAAGACTTGCATTTTACATTGTCTACAGATTTGTCTTCTTTAAAACCTCATTGATTGCCATAAAAAAACAGGGGAGAAAAAAGAGCAACTAAGCATTGTTTGAGATAAATGTAAATTGGTTAACCCTTGACAGAAGAAGATGAACCTTTGAAATCAAAGTAGTCGGCCCAGGGTAAAAGGCAAAGCACAAGGACATTGGTGGGGTTTACTGCAATATTTGAGTACTAGAAAAGAGTATTCATGTAGACTTCTTACTGAATCAGTTTATAATAACTGCAAATCTACCACTAAGTTTCCTCAAAACTAGTGCTTAGTACCAAAAATGAGATGATGACTATTGATGCATATAACAAGCTAAGAAGATGACTATTAGAGGTTTAAGCTTTGTATCCAGAGTAAAAGTACAAGCCATCACATCGGTGGGATTCATTTGCAATCTTTTTAGTACAAGAAAAAAGTATTCATGAAGACTTCTTACTGAATCAGTTCATCGTAACTGCGAAGCTACCACCAAGATTTCTCATCGCTAGTACTTAGTACAAAAAAAAAGATCATTACCGATGCATATAACAAGCTAAGAAGATCTGCCCACTGGTTCAAGAGCTTCAACAGTGACAATGCTGTTTCCTCTAATCACCTGCACCCAAAACCAAAATACAAAAGGAGTATAGTTACACATCGGACAAGAACAACAGATGATTAATGACAAAGGGACACAGAATCGATATACTTACCACCATACCGATGTCGGTTTTGTCATTACCGTTCACCTCGACAGTGTTATCCACAACAAGATTCATAAACTGGTCAAAACCACGAAGAGTTCCAGTAACCATTCGGTTAGCATTAAGCTTGACTGCATTTCAAATACAATTCATCAACAACTTAATAAACAAACTCTAACTAGAACAACTCTTGCTGAAAAAAAATCTACTTTCAGGAACATGGGAGATTCTTGAAACTATAACTAAAACCAGTAAATTCATAACAAGTTCGATTCACAGAATACAAAATCCCAAAAAATTAGCTGAATATATCATTCCTGTGCAAAAATTGCAAATCAAATCTCAACTAAAGATTATATAAAACCCAAGTTCTCTAACTAGATAAACGAGGATGGAGATATTGAACTTACTTTGGAGCTTCTTATCCATGTACCTGCATCGAACAAAACCAAAATCAAAAAACAGAATTAGATCAGCAACACAGAGATATAGAAACAGAAAGAGAGAAAATAGAACAAGGGCTTACTTCTTGAGATCCGGAGGCTGCCCTGACCGACTCATGGTTGCAGAATCGGAATTAAACTTAGGGTTTTCGCTCTCGGCTTGAAGAAGAAAGAGTTTGCAGTGAAACCCTAAAGTTTTGATTTTTTGAAGTCAAATGTTAGTGTCTACTCCTCTAAGCCCAAAAATCTACCAAAGCCCAATCAACTGTAAGGCCCAAGTCGTATAATTGTTGACTTTTTTTTTTTTTGGGTTGACATCATAATGATAATGAGTTTCACAACAAAAATATTCTTTAGACGCCATAATCTGATGTAAAAGATTTCATAAAGATTTAGCGTCTAACCAATTAATAAAATATTTTTGATTTCACCAATGGATAAATTTTAAAACTTGCACTAAAATTTTACCACAGCATCAAAAATGATGAATACATTTCTATATATGTCATTGTAGTTCTAATGCGGCCAATGGTTCTAATCGTTTCTATCTTGGTTGGATGATAGTGCATACACTATTTTTCTGTCACCAATATGCTTTATCACGAATTTTATTTAAGTTGTAAGTGGTGACACATCAATTACACTTACTAAAATTTATATTATATATCTATGTCTACATATACTATATTTAGACTAACAAAATTATAAATTTAACAAGGTTATTTTTTTTTAATTTGTTATATATATATTATTAGCTTATCTATAAGTGTATAGCTTGTAACTAAGTCTCCTTTAGCTTAGTTATTAGTAGTTTACACATGTACATATAAATACTGATTGTAAACACTCTGTTTCATGAATGAGAGAATTACTTTCTTATTATGAAAGTTAATATGGTATCAGAGCAAAGTGTATAACAAACTCTCTCTCATTTTTTTTCTTCCGATTTTCCCGGAAAATCAACATTTTCCCAGTAAAATTTTTTGATTTCCATGGCGATTAAGAGTTGATTGTCTTCGTTGAGCTTCGTTTCTCCACATCTGAGACTCGGATCTTTCTCAACAACATCTCGATTCATTTTTCTTTTATCTTCCGCTTCTTTTCTTTGCGATTCTTCACAAATTGAGAATCGAATCATCAAATCATCAATCATCTTCATCATCCACATCTTCTTCTCTCTTCGATTAGCTCATCAATGGCTAATTCATCTCAGACAACGAATCAGTATGATAATCCATATTTTTTACATCACTCAGATCACGCCGGATTGGTTCTTGTTTCCGATCGCCTCGCTACTGGTGCAGATTTCCACTCATGGCGCCGATCGATTCGTATGGCTCTCAATGTACGAAACAAACTTGGATTCATTGATGGTACAATCTTAAAACCTTCTGAAACTCATAGCGATTTTGGTTCTTGGTCACGTTGCAATGATATGGTAGCAACTTGGATAATGAATTCAGTCTCGAAAAAGATAGGACAGAGTCTCTTGTTCATACCTACAGCTGAAGGAATTTGGAATAGTTTAATGTCAAGATTTAAGCAAGATGATGCTCCTCGTGTTTACGAGATTGAGCAAAAATTAGCTAGTATTCAACAAGGTTCTCTTGATGTGAGTGCTTACTACACAAAACTTGTTACACTTTGGGAAGAATATCGGAATTATGTAGAACTTCCTGTGTGCACTTGTGGAAAGTGTGAATGCAATGCTGCAGGTTTATGGGAAAAGTTACAACATCGAAGTCGAGTAACTAAGTTTTTGATGGGGCTCAATGAGTCGTATGAGTCTACTAGGAGACATATCCTCATGTTGAAACTGATACCAAGTATTGAAGATGTTTTCAACATGGTAACTCAAGATGAAAGGCAAAAGAATATCAAGCCTATGAAGTCAGAAAGTGTAGTTTTCCAAGCTTCAGATAATGTCCAGAACAACAGCTTCATCAATCGAGAGCAAAATGTTTATTCTGGTCCTTATGATAATGTTGCTTATGCAATACAGAATGGTTATAGACCACGAGCTTCAAGGCCATTATGTACTCATTGTGGATAGTCTGGCCATGTCATTCAGAGGTGCTATAAGTTGCATGGCTATCCTCCTGGTTACATTCCCGGATTCAAGAGTAATGGTGGTTATCAGTCTTTTCAACAAAGGCCTGTTATTCCACAATTTCAACTAACTGTTACTCCTCAATATCAACCAAGAGGACAGATGTCTACTAATCCGCCTAAGTTTCAGTCTCATTCAGTGGCAAATGTGATCACAGGGTCATCATCTATGCCCTCTCTGCCACCTAATGCTAGTCATGCTAATATGGATGTTAATCAGATGAGTACTGATCAAGTTCAAAAGTTAATTCAACAACTTCATGATCGTGTTAATGTTTCAGAGAATCAAGCTACTGCTCCTAAAGTCTCATCAATTACAGAAAATGGAATTTTGCCTGTTCAGTCAACATCTGGTACATCCTCATATACTTATCCTTTTCCATATATTTTTCCTTCTAGCTCACTTCGTTTTGAAAACAATCATCTTACCTTTCAACATCAATGCCTATCAACTTTATCCTCTAAAATTCCTCATGGTAGTTGGATTATTGACAGTGGAGCCACTAGTCATGTGTGCTCTGACTTGACTTTGTTTAATGAAACTTTAACAGTTTCTGGAGTTACAGTCTCATTACCAAATGAAGCTAGAGTGGATATCACTCACTGTGGCACTGTGCACTTATCACATTCACTCATTTTACATGATGTTCTGCATGTTCCCTCATTCAAATTCAATTTACTTTCAGTTAGTAGTCTTTTAAAGAATAGTAAATGCTCAGCTCATTTCTTTCCTGATTCTTGTTATATTCAGGAGTATATTCAGGGATTGATGATTGGTAAAGGATTTTTACTTCACAATCTATACATTTTACAGCCTAATACATCGTCTCTGTCATCACCATCTTCATCAGTTGCTTCATCATCATCATCTTCACATTTCTCTGGATCCTTGAAGGTTGATGGACATCTCTGGCACCAACGCCTAGGACACCCATCATCTGACAAGTTAAAGCTGCTTTCTGGTATTTTACCTATGTCTAATTCATCTCAGCCTAGTCATTGTTCAATTTGTCTAATAGCTAAGCAAAAACGTTTGTCCTTTGAGTCTCACAATAATGTGTCTTCTAAGTCCTTTGATTTGGTTCATTTAGATGTATGGGGTCCATTTGCAGTTGAGTCTGTTGAGGGTTTTAGGTACTTTCTTACTATTGTTGATGACAGTACTCGTGTAACTTGGATTTACATGCTCAGAAATAAAGGTGAAGTTTCAAAATATTTTCCTGCTTTCTTGAATCATGTTCATACTCAGTATAATTCAAAAATAAAGGCCATTAGAACT